TTATTCGTTATACATTCCGCATAATTCGTTATAGCGTTAACGAAGATTCTTATAACGAAGTCCTGATCGGCTGGATCAGCAACTTCGTTATATCGAGGTGTAACTGTAATTATCCTTAAATACATACATTTTTACGTAAAAATTCTTGGTTGAGTAATTGCTAGAAAAATTATATATTTTTATAATTATTAAATAATAAATTATTTTAAAAATTAAAAATTAATATATATTTATAATTATTAATTTTAAAAGTTTAAAAATATTACTATTAGATATTTTATAATATCGGAAGTTTACTAGAAATATAGGATTCTGAAAGCTCTTTACCAAAATTGAAAATTATGCTTTATATAAATCTATAATATAATAATTTTAATTAATTAAAATTTTAAAATACTTTAATATTAAAATGAATAATTAAGCAATTTGAATTTTTTATATAGTAAATTTAAAAATAAAATTTGAAAATGATAAACATAATTAATATACTATTTAGAAAATGATTAATATTAATTTAATATTTTATATTATATTATATAATAAAATTTTAAAATAAAATAAATTGTTATTTAATGATTATAAAAAAATAAAATTTAAATCCTCTCATTAAAATAAATTAAATAATAAAATAGTTATATTTTAAATAATATATTATAATTAATTTTTAATATAATATTTATTATTTATTAATATTAAAATATTTATTAAAATAAAAAAATAAAACTTTTTTAATATAGTATAATGATTTTTTTAAAAATATTTGCTTTTCAATCAATCATTTTGTTATATAATATAAATCATCTGATTTAAAATTATAAAAATAGATTGTTCTAACATTAAAGCTCAAATTTTATTTATCATATTATGCAAAAATACAAATTAATCTTAAAGTTCCTTTTTCCTAATAAACTTTTCATATGAGCACTTTATAGTAGAAAGAGAGAAAACTACCAAAAAAAAATTTTTTTGAGTTAATATTAAATCTGAATTTATTTTACTAAAAAAAATAATATTTAGCTTAAAATGTAAAAAAAATTTTTTTTGGTAGTTTTCTCTTTTTTTACAACATCTATATGATAAATCTAAAAATTTTATTTTATTTTTTTATAATTATTAGATATCAAAATATTTTAAGTTTTTAAAATATTTAAGAAATAATTTTATACTTATAGTTTAAGAGATAATATAAATATATTATAAATAAAAAATTTATTATTTTAGTAAATTCTTATCTGTATTATTAATATGTAATACTTATAATTATTACAGATAAATAAGGTATCAAAAGTTAATTTTTTTAAATTTACAAAGTAAAATATATAATTTATATTAAACAAATCTTATACAATATAAAACCTTTATAATAGGAACTTAGAAAAATATTATCATAAATAGTTGACTAAAATACCCTAGGTACAATACAATTTCTTTAAATTTCAGGAATATAATACTATAGAGAATACTTTGATCAGGTAAGAGGATACAAGAATATTTGCTAAAACTAATAAAAATATGATAAATTTTTGCATATTAAAATTTGTCAATAAAATAATTTTTTGACCCGTTCAAAATTTTTTTTATTTAAACTTTATTCAAATTTAAATTTTATCTATTAAATTTAAATTATCTAAAGTAGCCAAACCTGATAGTTTCTCTTAACTAATTCTAAAAAATTAAAACTAAAGTTATTTACTAATAACAAACAAGTTGATGAAAAAAAAAATCAAATCAACATTACTGATGAATTTTAATAGAACTGGATGGTGTTTTTGAAGAGAATATGATCAGAGAATTTTAGTTATGAGTTTTAAGTTTGAAACCAAAATTAGATTAGGATGTAATACAAATAAATTAATTTTATATTATTTTTTTTAAATGCATTTCTTTCTCTTTTTCAAAAAAAAGGTAGTACATCATAATAAGGGTTTTTATAAAAAATCTTGTATTACTTTAAAGAAAAAAGGTAGTGGTATGCAAGAGAAAAATTGTTTATTATCCATTATGCTGAACAATGTGAAAGTAATAGGTTAGCGGCCAAAAATTTTGAAGTTGAACCTAAACAAATATGATATTAAAAAAACCAAAAAAATCAATTAGAAAATGCAGCTCCTTATATTCAAAAACTGCATAAAGAAAGGGAAGCATATCTTTCAGAACTTGAAAAAAATTTGTCTTTATGGGTAACAGATATGTGTTAAATAGTAAAAGCAGTTACACAAAATATGATTATTAAAAGGCTAAACCTATTGCTAAAGATTATTTTAATCTTTATCCAAATATCAATAACTTTAAATTTTCAACAACATGATTGAAAGGTTTAATGAAAAGATTTAATTTTGCAACACATCGACAAACTCATATTGTAAAACATCTTCCAGATGATCTTTTACAAAAACAATAAAGTTTTTTTAGTTTTATTTTATATTGAAGAATTCAATATGATTATCCTTTAAAATATATTGGTAATATGGATAAAACACCAGTTATTTTTGATTTACCTTCAAATACAATATTGGATTAACATAGTATATCAACAGTAACTATTTGTACAACTGGTCATGAAAAAACTCATTTTACTGTTGTTGTATTATGTTTGGCTGATAGTACTAAACTTTCAGTTACTTGTATTTTTAAATTAAAAAATATTCCAAGAGAGCAATTTTCTTAAGGTATTAACATTTGTGTAAATGAAAAGAGATGGATGAATGAAAATGAAATATTGTGGTAAATTGAAAATGTATGGAATCAATGTAATATATTAGGTAATTCTCGATCTCTTCTAGTTTTAGATTCTTTTAGAAGGCATTTAGTTGATTCTATCAAGAATAGATTTGTTAAAAAATAAACAAATATAACAGTAATTCCAGGCGGTCTCACTAGTAAACTTCAACTATTGGATGTTTCTATTAATAAAAGTTTTAAATCTAAATTGAGACAACATTATCAAGATTGAATAACTTCAAAAATTCATCAATTAACACCAACAAGCCAAAAAATTTCAAAGAAAAAACTCTGCGACGGCAATATCTCTTCGTTCTAGTTGTAGAGTAACAATTTTTTAAGCCTTAAAAATTTTTATATTCAAAATATCTGATTGGCTAATAAATTTACGATGATCAATTAAATCGAAATTTTTCACGATTTTTGTTTGACCTTTGATCTCAAAATGGCATTTCAAGAAGGTTATGAAGAGGACATTGATCTCGCGGAAGAAATAGATTTACTGGCTAATGAATTTACTGGTGTTGACGAAGATCTTGAAGAAGAAGGTATAAAACAAATTACGAATTCGAGGAATACCAATGTAGTTAATTCACTTTTATATTATTAATTACATAGCTCTCCAGGATCAAATGCAACTTCAATTAATGCTTCAACAACAATACGCTCAAGAAATACCTGAAGTCGTTAAAAATTTCATAATATATTTTCATCGTAACATCCTTGAAAACAACGTTTACGAATTACATGGCATATACGAAAACTCTTTTAATCGTCTAACAGAAAAATTTTATGCAAAAACGCCTTGGCCCGAGGCTGATTATATTGCTCCGATGGTAAACGATGGTAATTAGCTATGTGATCCGTTATTCATACGTACGATTTATACGTAAGATCGAATTATATTATTAACATAATTGTTATTAGACCAAGTGTTTTTGACTTTGTATCGCGAATTATATTATCGACACATTTATTCAAAACTTTCCCCTACTATTGAACATCGATTCCATTCTTATGAGAATTATTGTGATCTTTTTAATTTTATTTTGAGTAAGTATAAAAGAAACTGGAATTTCATGTTTTTAGGACTTTGATGAGTTTTTTTAATTACTTATTCTCATTAGATTCGGATGGACCTGTTAGTTTAGAACTTCCCAATCAATGGCTTTGGGATATTATTGACGAATTCATTTATCAGTTTCAATCTTTTTGTAATTATCGTAATCGTCTCAAGAACAAAACTGATGAAGAAATTGCTTTGTTGCGAGAAAATATTCAGGTTTTTTTTTGTTTTGTGGTTGAAATTTTTATTCTAAATTTTATGTTCACTTTGATTCGTATCTTTAAATAAGGTGTGGAGTTGCTACAGCGTGTTGAACGTCTTGTATTCGCTTATCACAAAATCTCGAATTACTGAACAATTGCTCGTAAGCAAACACGGTGGTGATATGATGTGAGTTGAATGGATAATTTAGTTTCAACTTGTATTTTACATCTGAGATCGATCTTATGTCTTTTTAATACATAGTGAAGCTGCGGGAGAGTATGGCTCACGTCCTTTATATAAGATGCTTGGTTATTTCAGTATCATCGGTCTTTTACGTGTCCATTGTTTATTGGGAGATTATACATTAGCGCTCAAAATGATGGATAATATTGAACTAAATAAAAAGGTATAGTTTTTAAGGAGATTTTTTTTCACACTTTTGGATTACTTATTCTAAAAAATATATATTTTCTGAATAGGCCTTATTTGCGCGTGTTACCGCATGCCACGTCACAACATATTATTATGTTGGATTTGCATACATGATGATGAGACGATACGCAGATGCAATCAGAGCATTTTCGCATATACTTGTCTTTATCGCAAGGACAAAGATGTATCATACTAGATCTTATCAGTTTGATCAGGTTCGCACATTCTATATACATGTTCCTTTCCCTATTTAATTCAACACGAATTCTCAATTTATTTTATTAATAATAATAGATCAACAAGAAAGGTGACCAAATGTATGCGCTATTGGCTATATGTATTGCACTTTGTCCAACTCGTTTGGACGAAAGCATTCATACTCACCTAAAAGAGAAATATGGGGATCATTCGTCAAAGATGCAACGAGGGTAAATACATATAAGTTCGTGATGATTAATTGCCTATTTGGTATGAAAAATGTTAATTTAAAATATTATAGCGAGGAGGGGTTGCAAACATTTGAAGATTTATTCTTGTATGCATGCCCAAAATTTATTTCACCAAATGGGCCAAACTTTGACGATCCAAATGCTCTAACGCAAACTATTGTAAGAAATCATCAATATTATATATTTATTTATTTATTATGTTAGTGATTTAAATAACTAATTGTAATAAATTAGGAACCTCATCATCATCATGCCAAAATTTTCCTTTCCGAGGTGCGTCATCAAATTCTCATTCCAACTTTACGGTCGTATTTAAGGTTATATACTACTATGGGGATTGATAAGTTAGCAGCTTTTCTTGAAATTGAAGCTGAAGAATTAAGGTAACATGATTCTTCTAAGAAATAAATTAATTTCCTCGAAAATTAATTTAAATACTTTATTATATTAGGACTCAGTTACTTATTGTCAAACAAAAGTCACGGCAACAAAAATGGACCAGCGGCACCTTACTTGAGGGTGAATATGTTACTACTTCGGATTTGGACTTTTGTCTGAAGCAGGTAAAATATTTTATTATTAATTTAATAACTGTTATCGGCTGTTAAATTCTCTTTATCGAAATTAGGATATGATTCATATTGCTGAATCTAAAGTTGGGCGACGTTACGGAGATTGGTTCTTACGTAATATCAACAAATTTCAGGTACATAATATGGATATTTTTATCAACTAATCTTTTTATATTGTTTTAATAATTATTTCTATTATATAAGGATATTCTTGCTGGAATGAACCTTCGTAGTTAATTGAATAATTTTGTAATTTAATATATATACTATACTATTTGTACCACGTAGACCCATTTGATTCGTGCTAAAATAAAATTGCCATTTTTAATATTATATTTAAGTTTTAAATGTAAAATTATTAATTTTTATTGATAACAATATAAAGACATTATATATTCCTAACTGGCTTGGCTAGTTTAAGTATTAACCCATTAGGATATTTGATTATTAATTCATCTTTTATCAGTATAGAAGTAATTTTATAATGAAAATAAAGAATTTCTTGCTATTTTTAATTGAAAATTTTCTTCATAATCTGATCTTTTCAAAATAACATAAACTTTTCTTATTCTTTACAAACTTTTCTAAGTAACTTATTTTTACTTCAATATAAATATCTGGAATTTAAAATTAGAGGTTTCTATTTTAAGAATTTATTTATTTTATATAATCTAATTATCTTTAACTTTTTACTATTTAAATAAATTTCAAATATTTATATAGTAATTATGTTATTTGAATAAATTTTAATAAAGCTAAAAAATTAAATGCTTTATAAAAAATTTTTAATCATTATTTTAGAATATCTAAGGATTAGAAAGAATTTTTTTATAATATTAAAATTTCTTAAATATGATTTATATTAAAATGTAAAATTAATTTAATTAATAGATCTTATATTAGATAATTTTATGCAAATTTTAATTATATATTAAATAATAAAGTTAGTAAATAATTTATCTTTTTATTCTAATATAGTAAATCTTACTTTAAAATAATGAATTAATATTATAAATATTATAAATAAATAAAAGATTTATTTATTTAATATTGCTAAATATTTAATAAAATTATTATAATTTTATATATTCTTTTTATGATTAAAATGATATTATAAATTAAAACTCAAATTTATAAGAATTATAAGAGACTTATAAAAAAATATAATTTAAAAAATCTTTTTTAACATAAATCTTTATAATATAAAAAAAAATAAAAAGTGAGTTAATATTAAATCTAAACATATTTTAATCTAAAATTTAATCATTTAAAATTTTAATAATAATTATTATTAGATTTATTTTTAATATTTTAATATAAATTGCAATAAAGGTGATAATAAATATTAGTTAATATAATTTTAAATATAAGTACTTATCCCTTACTTTCAGGTAAAGTGATCATATACTATATATATATTACATGATACCTTTCATTTGTTTGTAGAGTTAAAAGTTAATCAATCAAAGTTATTAATGATAATAAAAAAAAGTATATATGTATTTTAATTTATAAATTTTAAATTAAATTTTTAATTTTCAAATAAATTTAAAAACATTTGAGCAATTTATTTTATAAATTTAAAGATAAAGAAGTTTATTTAATTATATTAAATATTTTTAAAATAATTTATTAAAAAATTAATATTTTATTCCTTAAATTATAAATATAAAATTATTTATAAAAACTAAAATATTTTGATATTTAATAATTATAAAAAAATAAATAAAGTTTTATTTATTAATATATATTAATTTTTCAATTTTTTAATTTTTAAAAATAATATATTATATAATAATTATTTAAAAATAAAATTCATTTATTAAATCATCTTATAAAAAGATAGTATTTTATATTTTTAAGTTAATAGAAAGCAAAAATATATAAATTTAAAATTTTAAATTTTTTTTATAATAATTTATCATTTATTTATCTTTAAAAAATCATTAATTAATTAAAATATTTAAAAATAATTAAAATAATTTTAATTTATAAATAAAATTGCTTATAAATTTATAAACAAAATAATTAAAGATATAAATTTTATGAGGTTTCTAATTAAAAAAAAAGTAATTTAACTAATTATTTTAAAAATAAATATAATTATTAAAAAAATTAAAAATTAAAAATTAAAAATTATATATTTTATTATCTATTATTTTAGAAATATAAAAATACAAATATTACAGTTAATTCTCTCTAAATATACTTTTTAGTATAATGAAAATATGCATTTAAAGAAGAAATACATTTAAAGAGAAAATTTTTATATGTTTTTATATGTTTAAAATTAAATAAAAGTATGTATTTAAAGAGAAAATATATAATATGTGATTTAGAGAAAATGCAAATAGAGAAAGTAGATTTTAATAAGATGATTTAACAACTAAATTTATAATTATTAGATAATAAGTTATTTTTAAAAATTAAAATTAAAAATTTGATATATATTAATAATTATTAATTTTAAAATTTAAAAAATATTACTATTAATATATTTAATACAAACTAATAATTTTATTATATTTGTATATTTGTTTATAATTATTAAATATTAAAATATTATAATTTTTTATATAATAACTTTATATAATATTTATTAAAAATAATATATAAAATTATAAATTACAAAATAAAAAGTATAAAATTTCTATTTAATTAAGAAAAATTAATCTTATTTCAGATTAATCTATCATAAATTAATTTAAAATAGACAACTATCTTATACAAGAGGCTTAGTTACTACTAATCCAAAATTTGACATATTTAAAGAAAGAAATAAAAAAAAGAAGAAATCAGGAGAATTCTTAGAAAATTTTAACCAATTTTGTATTCAATACAAGTCTTTAAAGAATACAATTCGACAAGCTCCCTTCATTTAATGCGTCATATTACTACCTCCAGTGATACCACTACTACTATTATTATCTGCAAAACTAAACCCCTTTTCCATACATGGAATAATTTTATTCAGGACCAATCTTCAAACAACAACATAGTACATTTGAGTTGGAGACCACTCTTCACTTTTCCTCTTTTTGATTAAAATGGCCGTGAACCAATTTTGATATTTGAGCTTCTGTGTCGAACCGAACCGAGCTTAACTTCGGCCCACAGAACATAATAATATTTATAATCTTATTATTGTAAATTACAGAAAGAATTTTCTTCTCGGAGATAAGACTATGTGACACTAATAAATAATGCTTTTATTCACCAATAATAGTATAAATCGTCATTTAAAACCAACATTACATAATTAAAAGATTATTAATTTAGAATCATTGCGCCAAACTCCGAATTTATATAAAAAAAAATAAATGAGGTTCGGTGAAACTTTCCTAAAAAATAATTATTGAGTCACAAAAACAACTTTGTATAACATTTTCTTTGTGTGAAAGGTCATCCCTTATTCGAAAATAATAACAGAGATAAAGGGATTCCGCAGTTGACTTACCATAATTGGATTTTATCCGTTTTTTATATTGTGTGAATGATTGTGTAATTGTGTAATGAGGAGTTTACCTGGAATACTCTATAAAAAGGGGGCTTTACGTCTCTTCCTCCAAAAATTTTATTTTCCAAAAAATATTTTTTACATTTTATACAAAACCGAATAAAACTTTTTTTATTTTCGACAAAAAAAAAAATTATTTCAACATGCAAATCTTTGTTAAAACTCTTACCGGAAAGACCATAACCCTTGAAGTTGAGTCGTCAGACACTATCGACCAAGTTAAAGCTAAAATTCAAGACAAAGAAGGAATCCCTCCGGATCAGCAACGTCTCATCTTCGCCGGAAAACAGCTTGAGGACGGTCGTACCCTCTCCGATTACAATATTCAGAAAGAATCTACCCTTCACCTTGTTCTTCGTCTTCGCGGAGGAATGCAAATCTTTGTAAAGACACTTACCGGTAAAACCATCACCTTGGAGGTCGAGTCTTCAGATACCATTGATCAAGTCAAAACCAAAATTCAGGATAAAGAAGGAATCCCCCCAGACCAGCAACGTCTCATCTTCGCTGGTAAACAGCTCGAGGACGGTCGAACCCTCTCCGATTACAATATTCAGAAAGAATCTACTCTTCACCTTGTACTTCGACTTCGCGGAGGAATGCAAATCTTTGTAAAGACCCTCACCGGTAAAACCATCACCTTGGAAGTCGAGTCTTCAGATACAATCGATCAAGTTAAAGCCAAAATTCAGGACAAAGAAGGAATCCCCCCAGACCAGCAACGTCTCATTTTCGCTGGTAAACAACTTGAGGACGGACGTACCCTATCCGATTATAACATTCAAAAAGAATCAACCCTTCACCTTGTTCTTCGTCTTCGCGGAGGAATGCAAATCTTTGTAAAGACTCTCACTGGCAAAACCATCACCTTGGAAGTCGAGTCATCCGATACAATCGATCAAGTCAAAGCTAAAATTCAAGATAAGGAAGGAATCCCTCCAGATCAACAACGTCTTATTTTTGCCGGTAAACAACTAGAGGATGGTCGTACCCTTTCCGATTATAACATTCAAAAAGAATCAACCCTACATCTTGTTCTTCGTCTTCGTGGTGGTATGCAGATTTTTGTTAAGACCCTCACTGGTAAGACTATTACCCTTGAGGTTGAATCGTCTGATACTATTGATCAAGTAAAAACAAAAATTCAAGATAAAGAAGGTATTCCACCTGATCAACAGCGTTTGATTTTCGCTGGTAAACAGTTAGAAGATGGTCGTACCCTCTCTGATTACAACATCCAAAAGGAGTCAACTCTTCATCTTGTTCTCCGTCTTCGTGGTGGTCAATAAGAAGCACTCGCACATTTTTTTTTTAAAAAAAATCATTTCATAAAATAGTTGTTGCATTAGATTAATGTAGTAATGAATTGTTTGTTATTTTCAGTGATGTAAATTTATAAAATCAAATTATAAAGAAATAAATTTTTAGATTGTTTCTTCCTCGTTTTAAGAAAAATAAATATTTGAAAATTTGTGTAAAAAATAAACTATCATTCAATCGAATCAGTATAAATCACTTATAACAAAGTTGTCCCGTCCTAAAGTTTTTGATTTGCCTCATAAATATCTTAAATGTAATAATGGCTTTGTAACTCGACTTAAGGTCATAAATTTCGGTATAAAACAGTATCCGTGTAACGGAATTTAAAAGATAAATCGATGACGTTATCCGTTTAAAAACTTTTATTGGTTAATGATAAAAAAAAATCTCTTTCATGAAAGCGATGAATTTCCTAACTCCGATTCAAGAAGGTAAAGCGAAAGAACGTCCTGTAAGAATTTTTTATTGAGGTTGATCTAATTTATAAAAGAGAAAGCCATTAATAGTTCACATTTAGGAACTTGTTCCAAGTAAAGTATGTCAAGAAAAGGCTAAACGAGAGGGTTTAGTATTCGGAGGTGTCGCCGCAATTTTATCAGGTATTTAATAATGCGTACGTTTTTTTTAAGAATGTTACTTATTATTTTTAATAATACATGCTAAATTAAATAAGGAATTGTTTCTCGAAAAATAATAAAATTAAATACAAATCAAACTATATTATCAATATGCGGTTGGTTATTCATTTTATTCCAGTCAATTATTTTATTTTATTTCATCTTTTAAACAACTAGTTTTAATTATATTAGTAACTTCGATGATATCGGGATACGTGATTAGTAGATCATCATTTAATAATTGTTTACTTGATGTTCAATTAAAACAACAAAGAAAAGAAACGGCAGCAAAGTCGGAATCATCACCAGGAGATGTTGATTCGGTGTTTTCAGATATAACAGCTAATCAAGAATTAAAATTACAATCTAAAGAATCTGTATTTGTGGATCCATATAACACGACTGAGAGCGATAATTACAAGAGGAATGATCCGTAAACGCGATCTTAATTTTAATACTACATATTTGCAATTATGTACTTTATTATTATTACTATTAATCAAAGATTAATTGATTAATCACAATAGTTTTATTACACAAATAAAATAAACTCTTACAATATTTAATTCTTAATTTTACAAATTAGTTTATTCTTAATATTTTTTGACAATATAATTTTATAAAGTTATTATAAAAAAAAATATTTGAACTTTCTTTTATACATTAATAATTACAAATCATATTGTAATAATTATAATATAAATCAATTAAATATATACTATAATTTATACCGAGGGGGGGACAAAAATATTGCACGGTCAAAATTTATCCGATTTAATAAATTGTTAATATGTAACTGGCCATGTGATTTTTATACCATATTTGCTATATATTTCCTAAATAGAATATTTGTTATTGTTTTGATTTAATATGTTAAAGATTGCAAAAATCGGGTTTAAAATCTCTACCATTTTCAACTTTATGCAAGTGATGGGTCTCGCTAAAGAATTAACTCCCATACAAAAGGGAGGCATTATTGCAGCCAAAAAATTAGGTCACAACAATACAGAGATTGCAAAAGCTATAGAATGTCATTGAACAATCATTACAAGGTTTCTTGCAGCTTATGAAATCAGAAGCACTTTCTAAAAAATGATCAGGTCGACCCTACTTGATTAATAGCCAAAAAAGGCAAAGATTAAAGGCAATGGTTCTCAAATATAAAGAATTAAGACGAAAAAATCTAATTGAAATTACTAATATATTTTCTGCTAAAATTAATAAGCCAGTCTTTACAAAAACAATTCATCATGTACTTTACAAGGAAAATATGCATTCCTGTATTCCTCGAAAGAAGCCTCTTATCTCAGCAATCAACAAAAACAAATGACTTACATGAGCAATAGAAAGAAGACATTGGATTGTAAAAGATTGAAAAAAAATAGTCTGGACAGATTAATCTACATTTTTACAGTTTTGAAAAACTAGATGGAGAAGAGTATAGAGAAAGTCAAAAGAAAAATTTAATAAGATTGTATTGCATCTACAGTAAAACATTCTCTTCAAAGAATGTTTTAGGCATATTTTTTCTTTTTAAAATTAGGTTTTATTATTCTACTTAAAGGTTCAGTAATTGGAAATGTATACAAAAAAGTGCTTTTCACTTATGCAATTCTCATACTCTAAGCATTTTTCTGGTAAATCAAAAAAAATTCATTTTTCAGGAAGTTAATGCACTAATTCACATATCGAAGGTTATACAAGAGTTTCTGCATTCTCAAAATGTAGAGGTACTTCCATAGTCTGTTTAAAATCCCAATCTCAACCCAATTGAGAACTTGTGAGCTGTAGTTGTAATAGAAATTTGAAACATAACCCTTAGCCATCAAGCATTCATGAACTTAAAAAAGTGATAAAAGAGGTTTGGAAAGTGATACATAAAAAGTATATTGTGACTTAGTATGATCAATGTTAAATAGAATTCAGGTAGTGATTGATGCTAAAGGAAGACATACTAAATATTGATGTGTTATTTGTAAATATAAAAAAAATGATCTGCTATTCTAATAAAAAAAAATTTTATTACAAAAATAAAATTGTGCAATATTTTTGTCTCCCCTTGGTAGTATAATATTTTTTATAATTTCATAATTATGTATAAAATATAATGTAATAACATTAATTTAAATAAAAAAAAATTAAATTTTACTTTTAAGCTAAATAATATTTTTTTGTAAATAAGTCTAGATTTAAATATTAATTTAAAAAAAAATTTTTTGAAATTTTTTTTTACTTTTTATAATAAGATTTTATCAATTATAATTAATATGATATTATTACTAGATATTTTAGTAATATATATATAGTATAATTTTTTTAATATATATATAATATGAATACTACATATATATGATTTTTTATAATAATAGTTTATATTTGTATATTTTTAATATCTTATCATCTTACAAATATTTAGAATTCTTGAATCAATTCTACTATTTATATGATTTAAAATTTAAGATTAATTTAATTAAACTTAAAAGCATATTAGTATAATATATTACAATCAGACTTTATATGAAAAATATATTAAAGAAAAATATATATATAGAAGTATTAATTATTTTTTTTTTTATAACTTAAAATTTATAAAGAAGTTAGTTTATAACTTAAGCAAAAAAGTTATTCTATTTATATAAATTAATATACTATACTAACTAAGGTTGCTGAATGAAACCTAGAGGTTTTGCAAGTCTTCTAAATGGTAAAAGTTAAAATTTATCAAAATTATATTAAATCCTTATTAAAAAATCTGCGAAACACTGAAAAGGTAAAGCTATATCAAAGCTTATAAAAATGCGAAGCTATATCAAAATATTAATAAAAATTAGCAAAACTAAAGTTTAGACGTTTTGCTAAATCCAAAATGAGTTTAGACAAGCAACCTTAATACTAACTAAATCCTATAATTAAATTAATACATATATTATTAACAAATATAATATTAATAATGAGTTAAAATCAAACTTAAATTTTTGCTTTTTTTAAATTAAATTTCAAATAATATTTGAAAAGTATTTAGTTTATATGTATATACATCTTATATATAATTTATATCCTGAAATCGCTGGTTTATTAATTCGTATCAGTGATCACAACATTCATTCATCACAGTTAAAGAGAAATAAACGAAAAATTTATTAAAGGTAAACTTATACAATTTTATTTTTTGGCACCCATGATACTTGTTAAAAATAATAGATTATTTCATCTTTCGTTTAGTAGTTCGATTTTCTTTTGATGCACGGTTTTCATTTTCTAATAATTTCTATTTTTTTTTAAAAATAAATAAATATACCAAATTAATTTTGACTTTAAAGATACCAGTATATATATAAATATAAGAATCAAACTTACGTTCCATTCTTCTAAGAAATTATTTAGATCTTCTTTCCAAATCATTTGCGGAGTCTTATTTTGAAGTTCGGCAAGTTCCAATTCTTTCTCGACTCTTTTATTCACGAGTTTTTGTGCATCTTCCTTACAAAAACTCCAAGATTTAGTATTCATTAAATAATTATATCCATCGCCATCACCAGATTCATCATCATCATTATTCTCTTCTTTGGAATTTTTGAATCTTTCAAAACCTTTGGACTCAAGTAATTTAATGATATCAGCTTTACGAAGTCCTTCGTATTTGAGATCATGATTTATCTTCATTTGAATAAACCGAACTTTATTTCTGAGTTTGTTAACTTCGACTTCCAATACCTTCAACATATATTCCTTTCTTTTATAGTAATATTCTAGCCTATAATCATAAAATTCCCTAAGAATCTCTTCAGCTGAAGTATATTTTTTGATTCTTCCTTTCCCATCAAAACATACCATATTTGATGTGTTAATGATAGAAGTCAATTTGAATTTCTTTTCAAGTCCTTCTTCTAAAGCATCATTAAAATTATTTTCAGTCAATTTAACGGTAAAATCAACGTTAGTTATCGTATGATTTTCATTGTACTCCTACATATACCATATTGAATATTAATTAATAAAAATTCCAAGTTCAACTGTTTATAAAAGAGGAGACATATATAACATACAATTATCCAAGCGGGTACTTTATCTGTTCCGGCAATCCACTGTTCAAGCTGTTCTTTATAGCTTTGTGTCCAAACACGAATCGGCAATTCAGTAATTCTAACTTCTGATTTATTTTCTATTGGCTCGATTTTACCGCGGACTTTATATTTGTCTTTGCTTGTATATTCAATTTCACCTTGAAAACCACGGTACCAAGGATGCATAGGAATTGGTTCTTCGCCATCTAATAATCGCGTCAAATTATCAACAATATCCCGTGGATTATAATTTGGAATATACGAACTCCAACCTAATAGTAAATATAAAATAAGTATATTCAATATTGTTATATATTATATTTTTAATTAGAATAGATAGATACTAACCAGTTCCGATACCCTCAGAGCCATTGACGAGAAGCATAGGTAGAACGGGCAAATACCACATAGGCTCAACGATCTGCCCATCATCGTTACAATAGTTAAGTAAAACGTCATCTTGAGGGTGAAATATCAACCTAGTCAATGTAGGAATCGTAATGCTGATATAACGTGCACTAGCTGCATCTTTACCGCCCTATTAACGATTATGTTAATAATAAAAAAAGTATACTTGTATCTTATTTCAAATATAATAAACATTTATTATTGCATATTTCAAGTCAGTAAGCAAAAGTTAGATAACCTACTTGGATTCTTGTACCAAATTGACCTACTCCATAAAGCACATTGATATTGTTCGAACCGACAAAGTCATGGGCCATTGCAATTATAGTACCTTGAAGACTGGAATCACCATGATGATATGCTGCCTCAGATAAAACTGCACCGGCTAATGATGAGACCTTTACTTCTTTTTTATATTTATTCTTAATGCAAGTGTAAAGAACTTTTCTTTGGCCAGGTTTAAATCCGTCGAGAACGTTTGGTATGGATCTTTCATTATCTGCTCGGCTGAATAATATCAACTCCTTATTAATAAAATCGGTAATTGTGATCTCATCGACGTTATGATTCATGTAGGTTCCGGGTTCGTAATTTCTTAACCATTCTTTACGATCATCTGCTTTCTTTTTATTAAAAGCCATGTCAATCAATTCGCGTTCGTCAGATTGAATCGGTCTGAATGGTTTTCTATGTGTTCTTAGATCTTTAAAATATTTCTTAGCTTCTTCGGCAGTACTTGTACCAAGACCTTTGTAGTACTTGATATGCCAGCCTTTACCATTTTCGTTACTTTTCAACCAATTCTCGAATTCTGGCAAAGTAAAGAACGCTATTTCCATGCGACTTCTTGTGCACTTTACAATAGGTGTTATGAATTCCATCAAGAAACCTTGAATTTTGAGCAATGACGGGAAGAAATGATCCAAGAAATTAATGATCAATCCTTTTATATGACTACCATCGTGATCTTGATCAGTCATTATCATAAGATGTCCGTAACGCAATTTACTTGTTGAAGTATATTCTTCGCCTTGTTTCAATCCAAGAATTTGTTTTATATGTTGTATTTCTACATTATTCATGAGCTGAGTATGTGTTCCTTCTCTTACGTTTAATAGTTTTCCGCGAAGTGGGAAAACTCCATAGTTATCGCGGCCAACTACGGAAAATCCGGCAACTGCTAGAGCCTTTGCTGAATCACCTTCGGTAAGAATTAAAGTACATTCTTGACATTTTTTCCCGCCAGCATTATTCGCATCATCAAGTTTGGTAATACCTGTGATCTTCTCTCTCTTTTTTCCGTCAGTTTTCTTTAGGTCTTTGTTTTGTTTAAATCTGACATCTTCCAAGATACTTTCAACGACTTTACTTTTAAGTAATTTATTATAAAATGCATCGCTTGGATTGCATTTTGAACCAAATGATGAAGCTCTTAATGTTAAAGTTTCTTTTGTCTGAGAATCGAAGCTCGGATTTTCGATTAAGCAATTGATAAAAAGCCACATATGATTTTTGATTTGGTTTTTTTTCATTAACTTTGCATCCTTGGCCTTTTTCGAGACCGCTATCATTAACCTCTCTATAATTTGGTCCGCGATATAATTGACATGAGAACCTCCTTTGGATGTACAAATACTATTGACAAAGCTAATATGCTGAAATGATCCTTCTGGAGATGGGAAAAAGGCAATTTCCCACCTTGGATTGACTTCTTCATAAATAATTGTCGATTTTAAGTCAACTTCATCAGATTCATTCAAATACATCAGGACATAATCTTTAAAATTCTTGATTCTCACTCTTTCATTATCCAAGAAAACTTTGACATCTTTTACGACACCAGCTAAATCATACACACGTTTCTTCAAAAGCGATATGAAATCATCATCAAGCCCATTATGCATGTTAAACTTTTGAAAATCGGGCTTGAAAGTGATCATAGTGTATTCCTCTTTTTTTGAATAAGGCGAGATTTCTGGAGGTTCTGTGACAGTCATATTATCTCTGAATATTTGACGATATTTTTTTCCAATGGAACTATCAACAGTTTCAACAATGAATTGTGTACTAAAGATATTTGCCAATTTGGCGCCATAACCATTCCGACCACCGGTAACTTTCCTTTCATCATCATTATAATTAGAAGATGTCAAAAGATGGCCGAATATTAGTTCTGGTACCCATACATTTTCTTCTTTATGAATTTCGATGGGTATACCATTGCCATTATTATAGATAGAAATCTCGCCTCGAACTTGATTAATAACGACTTTTATAGTATCCATAGAGGGATCACGAATTTTGTTGTCAGCAGCGTTTACCAATATTTCATCTACTATTTTGTATAAACCTGGAACATAATTAATTTCTTTATAGACCATGATATTTTTAATCGAATCATAAACCCATAGCTTCTCGGCTGACGCTTGAACTGAACCAACATAAGTATCAGGTCTTAATAAGATATGCTCAAGTTGAGTTTTCTTTTGGTATATTTCTTCAACAGTTTTTTTTGCCTGTGTTGCAGTTTTATTCGACGAAATTTCGTTAAAAGGAGTGATAGTTGAAGAGGCTTTACTAGAAGTGAATTTACTAGAAGCGGCTTTACTAGAAGTTGCTTTGCTAGAGGTGACTTTACTAGTGGTAGCTTTATTAGAAGTGGTTTTACCAGCTGAGGCTTTACTAGAAAGAGATTTATTAGAAGAAGCTTTACTAGAAGTGACTTTACTGGAAGAAGCTTTATTTGTGGAAGCTTTTACAGTTGGTTTACGCGTTTTTGTAGGTTTTGGGATATATTCCTCTTCGTCTGGAACATATTCAGAATATTCGGAATCTGACATATCTGACATATTTGCTAAGACAATAAAAACCTTGTGTTGGTTAAAGAAGTTCTAATATAAAAGGTGTTTGGAAATTTTTCAGAAAAAAAGTAAAAAGTATAAAAGTGTAGCTAGTTATTTGTTCAGACGCGGTTTTATTTTGAAAAAAAAAAAAAATTAATAATAAATAATAGATTTTTAAGTCGCCAAATTACGTTTCTGCCGGTTGATAAGGGACGGTCATTTGAAATATCACGTGAGCATAATTAAGGGTCACGTATTCTAAGCGGCCAAATTTGGGCATCCTTAACCTATACCGGAGGTGTAGATGTTTAATTTGCGCTGGGGGTGTACAATAAGTTTTAACGAATTTTTATTGGATGAAAATTGATTGTGTAATATTATAATTTATACTATCTTTGTAAATAAAATTAATATTGTACAACAAATAATAAACTCTCACTTGCATTTCATATGAAATCCAAAGAGATGTGTATTCCCAAACTAACAGCTTCAAATAAATTTATAAATCATGATGATTTTATAACATAAGTTCAAAATTTTGCAAATTTTTATAATTTTCAAATATGAAAAGTTAAAATAAAACATGATAAAAATAATAATATTAAAAAAAAGAACTATATTATATTCATGTGCAGGTATTGCTGAACAAAAAAGAAAAAAATCATCAAAAAGATCATCATTCTCAAAGATATAATTGTTCTTTTATGATTATAGCATCATTTAATTTACAAACCGGTTTTTGGCATATTTTGGCTATAAATTTGAAACATAATCATGAAATAATGATTCCTAAACATAAAAAATTTTTAAATAATCAAAGAATAATTCTACAAGAAATTAAAATCAAATTAAAATTTATCATCAAGTAGGTTGTAATGTATCAATTATCAAATCTATTCTTAAATAAGAATATCAAAAATTAGAAATATGGATTTATGATGATATTTATAACTATATATATCATTAGGTAATAAATTATATAGTCGTTTTTTTGAAGCAGATGAATTTATTAATACTTTAAAGCAATTTAAAAGAGAAATTAATGGATTTAAATATGAAATCAAAGTTGATGAAAGTTCAAATGGATTACTTCAAGTAATTTGGATGTATCCAGAACAGAAATGACAATATTGTAGATTTTTATATTTACAGTCAACTCTTGTTATAACAAACTCTATATCCTAGACCTCAACTTCACTATAAAGCTATTATTACACGAAAGAAGACATGGATGATGATGATCTAAAGGATGGCGTTGATTCCTAAGAAATCATATATGTCTTCTATGTCATCTATGTCGTCTATAACATATATTTCTTTTATACAATATATTTCTTTTATTTATTTTATCTTATTTATCTCATATAGTTATTATATTTTATTTATTATATATATTTTATTTATTTCTTTTATATCTTCGATAACTTTATATTTTTCATTTTATATAAATAGATGACAATTTCCTTTAGCTTAGTGGTGAAACCGGCAAAAATTGATGAACTTATCAAATATGACATATATGCCAAATATGCCAGATCTGCCAGATCTGCCAAATCTGCTATATCTGCCAAATAGGACACA